TATTTGTAGAGAGAACTTTTCGCATTCACCTCAGTACAGTTTGATCACAGCAGCATCTAGTGGACATTTAAGGAACTGCAGCTCAGCACACTTCAGCTGAGGAGACTGGTTGGTAAAAATGCCTCAGACCTTCGCCACTGTTGTTCACATGAGTTGTTGGTTTAACTGCAGTATGACGTGTTTTTAAAAATTATTATTATTTCCTCATCATGTTTGTCATGTAGCAGCATCTGTGTTCGCACAAAACATTTGAATAATAATCAACCTGGTTTACATTCTGGGTGGATGATAGGGGGCTAAATCCTCCACACACACACACACACACACACACACACACACACACACATACAGTGTCTGCATGGGAAACACAGAAGGCATGAAATTACAGTTGCGTCAGTCGGAACGAAGCACAGGAGGAAACTTTACCGATAAGACGGCGACTTCACGCAAACCTTCATCAAACTCTGTGTGTGTGTGTGTGTGTGTGTGTGTGTGTGTATGTGTGTGTGTGTGTGTCTGTGTATGCATGTGCGTGTGTGTTGGAGGGAGGTCTACTAAATAAAGAAATCCCAGGCCTTTCTCTGTCTCTATAATCCCTGTGTGTGTGTGTGTGTGTGTGTGTGTGTGTGTGTGTGTGTGTTAATTTGGACGGTCAGGCCTGGTGTGTCACCAGATAAGTCAGTTCAATATTCACACTCGGCCTGTCACTGGGTGGCACTCAGAGCTCAGCTGCGCGAATGTGTGTGTATGCATGTTTGTGTGTGTGTGTGTGTGTGTGAGTGTGTGTGTATGTGTGTGGTGTGTGTGTGTGTGTGTGTGTGTGTGTGTGTGTGTGTGTGTGTGTGTGTGTGTGTGTCATTTAAATATTCTAATACTTGAAAATAAACAGTGTGTGTGTTTATGTGGTTCTGATCAGATTTTTTAGTTCTGTGTTTTGGCATGAGAACATGAGAAAGACAGAAAGAAAGAAAGAAAGAAAGAAAGAAAGAAAGAAAGAAAGAAAGGCAAACATTTTAGCGCCCCCTTCAGTACAATCAGTGTAACTGTTGGTTAAGTTTCACTAACATTTGTCAGTAACTAGAGATGTTGTGTTTATGTGATGAACAAACTGGGACTGATCCAAAGTCTGTCTACAGAAAGACATAAAGAGACCACTCACTCACACACACACACACACACACATGCACACACACACGCAGAGGGAGGTGGTGAGTCAGCCTGTAAATCACAGTAAGTATCAGTACGTACAGGAGAGAGAGAGGAGAAATGAGGTGAAGAAGAAGAGAGGAGTGAAAGAGAGCAGAGAGGAGATGAAGAGAGATGAGAGGATGTGGAGGAGAGATGACATGAGATAATAAGAGAGGAGGGGATGAGAGGAGGAGGGGGAGGAGGAGGGTAAGTTTCCTCCTCAGGGGAGACGTCGACCTGTCAGAGTAAATGTCTCCTCTGCAGGGAGATAAAATCATATTTAAAGATCAGACGCTTTAAATCCTGACCAGCTCTGTTTGAAGAACCTTGAAGGAGATGAAGGTGGAGGAGGAGGAGGAGGAGGAGGAGGAGGAGGGCTTATTAGCTCTTCATCAGCAAACTCCTCCTGACATATTCTGGGCTTTTAATTTATCACATCACACCTGAACAAGCTGTAATCAGATTACTGAGAGGTTCTACTCAAGGACAGGTAAAGTTATTATATTGTTACTTGACTAAAACTGAGATATCAAGGTAACACTAGTAGAAAGTAACTAAGTACTGCACTTAATTACTATTTCAATTAACTTGTAATTCACATTGGTATTTATATTTTCTGCTAATTAATACTTGTACTACAGGAAATTTTTGTACTTTTATTTGATAACTTTAACAAATTGGATTGTGACGCGTAAGACGAAATGTAATTATCAAATAAATTATGTTAAATTAGAAAAAACTTCAAGCTACCCATCTGTCATTAGATTATCTCCATCTTCATCAGCTGCAACATTAAAGTGAGGAACACATTAAAGAAGTTTTGTAAGTTTTGCTATCACTACATAGCTAACGTTAGCATCAACAGCTGTATTTTAGGGTTGCCACCTGTCCCAGTTTTCCCAGGATTGCTCTCTTTTTTGAGATTATTCTTTCCCGTTTTTGTAAAAATGCACTTTTAATTCAGAATTTCATAGTTTCAAATAAAACCTAACTTGTTTCCTTCTACTGCTTTTCTGTTTTCTTACTGGTTATGTCCAATCCTGTGTCTGTAA